GGAGAGCGTCGGCTGTTTGCCCCAGCCCCCCCACCCCCCCCAGCCACAGCAATGGCCGTGGCCCCAGCAGTGTCCCAAAGGCCAGCGTTGCCCCCAGCCCCGCACCCACCACAACCCCTGTATCTCTGGGTGCCCCTGCCCTGCACCAAGCCTCACCACAGCAGACGGTCACGGTGCCCCATGCCGTAGGGGCTGTGGGTCCCAGCTCCACCATGTCCTCGGGGCTGTACGTGGCAGTGAGCAGTATGGACCGGCTCTGACGCTGATGTCCATCCCGGGGTGGCCAGGCTGGTCGGACTAGAATGTCACTCGGTTCCCCAGTCCCTAATCCCTTCCGGGATGAATCAGGTCCCATCAAAACAACAAGGGACCAGTTGGGGCACAGGTGCCCGCGGGGCTGGGCACTCCCTGGGGCTCTCCAGTGCATCCTGGTGCAGCCACATCCAGCATCCCGGCACGTGGCAGGTGGCTCAGCCCTGCCAGCCCTGCTCTGCGCTTGGGATGGCTCTGCATGGCCCCTTCCCCTGCTCTCCGGCTGTCCCGGCCGGGCCAGGGCCTGCAGTCATGGCAGTCCTATGGCAATGCCACACCGCATCCCTGTGCCCAGGGCAGGGATGATGGTCGGGGCTGCATCGCGAGGGTTCAGCCATGGGGTACACAGGGCTTGGGGCAGAGATGTGGGAACACACATGGGCACACGCAGAGCCCCTCTCCCCACGGCTCCAGCCGGAGCTTCTGCATCTGCTGGCAGTGAACGGGCAAGGACAGCACCGGGGAGCACGGCAGGGATGCAGCACTGAGCCGTGGCGTGGGACAGAGCCCCAGCACCTCCCACACCGAGCAGAGCCCCTAGGCTCCGGTTTTCCCTTCTCCAGCATCCTCTGGGCTTTTGCGCGGGGCCGGGCCGGGCCGTGCAGTGCGAGAGGGCACCGGGAGAGGGACCCCCCGCTCCGACAGCGCTGCTCTCCGGGACCGGGCGGAAGCCTGTGGGACCGGGGTCTGCCGCGGCACCAGAGCGATGGAGGGGACCCAGGAAGGGAAGGAGGGGACACCAGTGGGGATGGTAGAGAGGACCTAGGGCGTGTGATGGAGGGGACCCATCCGATGACAGAAGGGACACTGGGGCTGATGGATGGGTTCATCCACAGGGAGCCAGAGCCCACGACCCCCCCAGCGTGTTGCCCACTGCTATGTCACAGCCAGGACAAGGTTGGCTGGACCAAGGAGTGTCCTGGTTCCCCACATCACCTGCCCCTGCTCGGCCCCCTGCCAAGGGGATATACCAGTCTGGGGAACCACAAGTGGGCGCAGGCACACACATATATACACACACAGGCACACGGACTGTGCTTGCGAACACGCAAACACATCTGAATGCTTGTGCAGAGGTACACACATGCACACACCCGCAGCCAGGGCTGGTCAATCCCTTCCAGCCCCAGACACCCCCAGCTGCAGCAGCCTGGGGGGGCAGGACGAGCCCCACCACAGCAGCCCCAAGCCCTGCCCAGCATCTCAATTTGCCCCCACCAGGCCCATAATCTCCTGCAGGAGGCAGGGTGTCCCCCCCGAGGCATTCGTGAGTCACAGGTCAGCACCGATGCCAGGGGCATCCCCTGCCTGAGGAGTTGCGCAACCCCTGATGCAACTTCCTTCTCCCTAAAAGCTTGTCCGTTCCTGGCCCCGCTCGCAGGGGTTGCACCGGTGTGAGCCAGAACCACAGAGGCAGCACCACAGAGAGCAGCATCCCCTCTATCTCAGGGCAGCACAACGGGACCATCCCTGGCAGCATCACCCTCACACCCTGCAGCCGCCTGTGCCCCAGCCTCTACCTCAACACCACAGCGACTGCAGGAGTTACAGGCATGCTGCTGGGAAATGGGGCCAAGGCAGGCCCACACTGCAAACTCACTGCTCCCAGGGAGATGGGGACCCCCCCCACTTCCCAGCTGTGCACAGAGCCCCACACCTGGCTCCCAGCACTGTCCCTTCCATGTCATCCCATCAAGGCACCTTCCCAGAGGAGATGCATCCCCGTGCTGCTATCTCTTCTGACTGCAGAAAACAGGGTGCAAACCAACTTTCCTCATGTGCCTGCCCCTGACACCTCATGTCTGAGTCCGGGCAGTGAGAGAGAGCAGGATGTGGACACCACAGAAGCCATCAGGCCCTGAAAGATGCTCTGTGGGGGCAGCGCAGGGACAGGCCACCTGCAGACCCCAGCAACATACTGGTGGAAACAAGGACCAGTCCGTGGGAGAACCCCCCTCCCCAGCACCACCACAGGCACCCCAGCCCCAGTATCCCACAGCACACCCACCCAGCCAGTACTGGTCCAGACAGGCTATCCCCACTTTCATACTCTGGGGGCACATCCCCGAGGCTCAGATCCCCCAAAGGGGGCAGGAAACAGAGGCGTGTCTGGTCATCAGGGCTTGTTTAATAACAAAACTCCAGCTATTGTAGAACAATATTCTCCAGCATCATTGTAATATACAATACGGGAAATGCTCTCAGCAATCTGAGAAGGATACGTCCCGCGGCCGCCGGGCAGCAATCCCTGCCCAGG